TAAGCAAGGAAGCAAGCAAACAAAACTATAGATATAAGATCAACTGGAAATCAATTGATTCATGGCCTCATGAAATGGTACCATTTCTTAGATGGAATAGATATGTGGCGAGTTTCATGGTACCACGAACTCATGGCAGCACCACTGCCAGGCACAGTGCAGTGCATGGAACATGGTGCAATGGGCGCATAGAAAAACCCAGTGCTTGCTTCCCGTTTGTGGGACGCTGATTGCCATTGCACTGGTAGGAGACACTGGAAGAGCAGCAAGTGGTGCTGTTGGGAACATCCATGCTGGAAGCAGCACAACTATTGAATATTGTTGAGAAAATTTGGATAAATCCTGCCAGAAAAACATTGCTTCTGTGTGCTTTTGCATTGTGGAATCAATCCTGTACTCCTTCTCAAAAGCACCAGCTTTCCAAGCTAAGTCACCGTTTAAAATGGCCTTCCTCCCCCACTCCTTTTTCTCACCTTTAGCTGTAAGCTATAGTAGACAGGCCATTTAGTCCAAATATACATTATATACCTTCGCAATGATTAAATAATCATTGTTGGAATTCAGTTTACCAGGAAGTATCTTTTGCAAGCTCAGAGGGCTCCCTGTGCCCTGGCCATTCAGAATGGGGCGGATGCATTACTTAGGGTCTGAGTCTGGATGAGCTTATGAGTTCATGAATAGTTTCTCAGTAGCTGGAATTTACATGTCTAAGCAGACCTGGAGATGGGTTCAAGTTACTCAACGAAAGTGCCAATGCACAGCAATTAGAAATATTGTAATCTCATTGTTGCTGTATGATTGACTGACATTCCTTTATCTGTTCTGTATGTGATGACCTCAGAATCTTATTGTAATGTCTGCATTCTGTCATCAATTGCTCTGTACCTGTGTATGTGACTGGGAGGGTATAAAATACCCTGTAGTTGTATTGAAGCTTTGCAGCAGTTCACCTCTGCCTGCCCGGTAATGCATTATCGAGAGTCTACCGCGGGAACCTGGGTCATACAATAAAGCCAAAGATGGTCTGGACACTTGATCTTTCCCATGAACCCTAGTTTTATTTCCTCCTCACGAATTGAAATTCTGGGATTTTCTGACAATATTGCCATAGACCAGCCGCCTGAAGATGTCTGAGATTGCCTTTTGCTTTTGGGATGTGAAATTTAACTTTTCCTGTGAAAGAAGCTTAGGGAAGTCCAAACTCCACTGTACCCATTTGCTTATTCTGGAAGTAATTCAGCATCAGATTCATGCTGCACTTTTGGTCTTTCTAAAGCAAAGAAGACTATCCCCATTCAGCCAATAAATTCTCACAGACAGCATTCCCGATAAGCACCCATGCCGAGTGCTTTATTCACTTCACAGAAGGGAGCAATAAATGTGGTTCTCATCTTCTGATTGTTTGGGCATTCCTGCAATATTTGCATATCTCCAAGAAAATATTTGCATATTTGAAGGCACATTACAGGAAATACAAAATATCCTATGCCCCAGTGACATGGAGAGGTTTAGACCAGTATGGTGCTTTAAAAAAAAGACTGCAATAATTTCCACATCTGGCAAACATCTGGTGGTAAACATCGCATTCTTAACTCCCAGGAAAGGAGGAGGAGCAGCACTTCCCTTTAAACAAGAGAAGTGCAAATGTGTACTTCTGACTTTCTCCTTGATACTGAGTATTTGCAGAACTGATTTACAAAATAGATCAGGGCTTGTATGGCACATACTGAAGATTTGGTGGAACATGCGCCAGACTATGTCAGTCTGGTGTCATTGGCTGGCAGGAAGCAGAAGTTTTCCCAGCTCTACTGGAGGCTCCGGGGTTTGAACCTGGATTCTAAAGCAAGGTCTCTGCCTTGGAGCCAAGGTTTCATGGGGTGCGTTCACAAGCGAGCGGAGCAAGGCCTCCTTAGGGAATGGTCAGGACTGGATGCGGGTAGCACCTGGCAGCCCTACAGAAGCCTGCCTCTCCTCTCACTCTCCTGCTCCTCACAAGGCCTTTTACAACCCACAGCCCCCAGGGAGGGACCTTTGGGGATGTGTTACGATGCAATACTGTTCTTTCAATTTTTGCTAATGCAGCTCTGTATTACTGGCAAGCCCCCTGGGTGGGATTTGCAAAGCCATGCCATGAAAGTGCAAACTCTTCCAAACCAACAGGAGGATGCTTTCCCTTCCCTGGTGGTGGAACTGGGGAACTGAAGCTTGTCCTGCAGAGCTAAGGAAAGCTGCGCTAGACAACTGCTTTCTTTGACAACACTTCTAAAAGGCACAGGAGCTGCCCCCTCCTCTGGATTCATTGCCCTGGTCTGCTGGCCAGGAATTTTGCCAGTGCCTCTTCCTTCTCCAGATCTCTATGCAAGGCAGAGCAAGCTGGCTCCCCTAGGTCTTTGTTGTGGGACCCAACCGACCCCTGGTTTGAGTCCAGAGGAAACCAGCCTCTGACATCCCTTCAGGATTCAAGTCTGATAAGCTATGGGATCGCTCTCCCTGCCATCTCTCTGCTCTGCTGGCATTTATATGCACCAACGAGGACACCCAGTGGCTGATGCAGCAAAATGCAGCGTGCTTTGCAGTCTTACTAGGCTTTTCTTGCTGCCTCTGCTGACGCTGGCTAAATAATAACAGCTGGCTTAATCATGGCACAAAGGGGAGCTTTTTAGAACTTATTTCATGGCAGCACATCTAAGCTTCTGTCCTTCAGCACTTGGTGGGGGAGGCATCTCTTTCTCTCTGGGGGAAGAGTCCAGGGAGCATCATCCATTGAACCTTGAAGTGAGGTATCCCATAAGTGGGTTATGAATGAGAGCTGTGATGCTCCGTGGTGGGGCTCCAAAGACAGGCCTGCAGCAGGACTTCTCCTGGGCCATGGGATGAAAAGTGCAGGTGGCTGCTAAGGGAATGGCGCATGGATAATCCCAGGCACCTCATTCACCATACATCATCAGATAAGAAGAGATCCCAGTGATGATGCTCCTTGTGTTTGTCCCATGCTGAATGCAGTTCTTCCAAGCACTGTGTACTGCTTGTGCTTGGCCCATGATGTAGCCCGGAAATCTTCCCATATCTCTGGAGCATGTAGAGTAGGATTTGCAAAGTTATGCCCCTTCAGATATTGCTGGGATGTTCTATCTCATCCTCCTCCATCACTGACCATGTGGCCTGGGGCTGATGGGAGCTGGTGACCAAGGACCACTCCTTTCCCACAGTTCACATAGTTTTGCCTGAGGCTGTGCTCCTCACCAAAGATGTGGCGTGTGCCCAGGGGGGCAATTCATAGCAGGCAGGCTGTTAGGTTGGGCGAGGTGGGTCTGCAGGAGGTATTCAAGGCCATGTTCACATTTTCCCAAGGAGTAAATTCTTTATATGCTCACTGCACATGACTGATGGCATCTCCCGAGTCAGGTTTTCAATGCATATTGGATTTATTGGAAAGAACTGCGGGAGCAGAAGGGAAGATGCAGCCATGATGAGATTATACCTGGTGACAGAATAAGGGGAGGCGGCTTGCCTCCCCGATCATGGGAAAGCGGGCTTCCTGTGACCCAGAGAGCTCACCAGATCTTCCAAAACACCTTGTGGCCCTGCCCTCTTAGTGGAAATTCTGGGCCTTTCACGCCAGTTCCACACACACAGAGATGTTGGTGTGGCATCCTGCCAAAAGAAGGCTGTTGTGCTCTTTTTATCACTGCGTCACTTATGTTTGCGTCCCTTTAAATGTGCCCCAGTTCTTCAGCTTGCATGTCTTTCCCAGGCACCTCAATGAGGCGGGATGCAGCTCTATTAAATGAATGCATGAAGTAATAAACATCACTGTTTGCCTTGGTTTTATTTACAATGTTGGAGAAATGCTGAGCTGAAAAGAGTCTGCATTTCCCCACAGCACCAGGGTGTTACTCCCATTGGCATGCGTGCCTCACACCCCTCCGCTCTCTGGGAAAACAAGGGACTCATCGGATAGACACCTGTGACTGATGACTGAGGCCCAGCAGGGTGAGCATGGCTGTATTTGGGCGGAGGGTGACAATTTCAGGGAGGCAAGATTGCCCATGTTGGCAGGTAGGTGGAGCAGCAGGAATGCCTGAGCTGAGCACCAACACCCAACCCTTATTAAAATTCTCATTCGCCTGAGCAACCATGGTTTCCAGTGCATTCCACCCACATTTTTAATAAAATGTCATTTAAAAGAATCATATTCATAACCAGAATGCCTCTGGTCAAGCCAGGCAAAAGGACACAAACATTCAGCTCTTCACTACTGAGTGTATTGCGCGCGCTCTCTCTCTCTCTCTCTCTCTCTCTCTCTCTCTCTCTCTCTCTCTC